CCAGACCCACTGGGGAGAAGGGGGGAGGCTCAGATGGGCCCTGCAGGTGCAGCAGGGCCGCAGGCTGCCCCCAGCTCCATGCCGGGCTGCTCTCCATGCCGGAGGCCTGGCTTGCTGGGGTGGGCCTGGGGGCTCCATTCCCCCCTGCAGCTCACTGCCCTGGGCACCCCGGGCCGGTGCCAGGTCTGGCGGTCCAGTCCCCTCTTCGGGGCAGCCAAAGACTGAACTAGTGAGAAGAGGCGCGGGGCTACGGGGAATGGCCGTTCAAGGGACCCCGGCCCTGCCCTGCCCCCAGCCCAGTCCCCCCCCCCCCCCCTGCCTCCAGCCTGGTACCCGTTACTACCCCGGCCCTGCCCTGCCCCCAGCCCAGTCCCCCCCCCCCCCCCTGCCTCCAGCCTGGTACCCGTTACTACCCCGGCCCTGCCCTGCCCCCAGCCCAGTCCCCCCCCCCCCCCCTGCCTCCAGCCTGGTACCCGTTACTACCCCGGCCCTGCCCTGCCCCCAGCCCAGTCCCCCCCCCCCCCCCTGCCTCCAGCCTGGTACCCGTTACTACCCCGGCCCTGCCCTGCCCCCAGCCCAGTCCCCCCCCCCCCCCCTGCCTCCAGCCTGGTACCCGTTACTACCCCGGCCCTGCCCTGCCCCCAGCCCAGTCCCCCCCCCCCCCCCTGCCTCCAGCCTGGTACCCGTTACTACCCCGGCCCTGCCCTGCCCCCAGCCCAGTCCCCCCCCCCCCCCCTGCCTCCAGCCTGGTACCCGTTACTACCCCGGCCCTGCCCTGCCCCCAGCCCAGTCCCCCCCCCCCCCCCTGCCTCCAGCCTGGTACCCGTTACTACCCCGGCCCTGCCCTGCCCCCAGCCCAGTCCCCCCCCCCCCCCCTGCCTCCAGCCTGGTACCCGTTACTACCCCGGCCCTGCCCTGCCCCCAGCCCAGTCCCCCCCCCCCCCCCTGCCTCCAGCCTGGTACCCGTTACTACCCCGGCCCTGCCCTGCCCCCAGCCCAGTCCCCCCCCCCCCCCCTGCCTCCAGCCTGGTACCCGTTACTACCCCGGCCCTGCCCTGCCCCCAGCCCAGTCCCCCCCCCCCCCCCAGCCGTGAGTCACCCGCCTGGGCGAGGCTCCCTGGGCCCAGCTGCTCTCTCCTCTGGGGGGCCGTGGGGCGCAGGCTGGGCTGGCCCCTGCTGGCAGCGGGCGGAGCCCAGGGAGCGGCCCTGCACAGGGCGTGAGCAGCAGCATGGCCTCCCGAGGGCGCAGGGGGAGCTCCCTGCAGGGGCTGGGAGCGGCTGAGCCCAAGATGGAGAGATGGGTGGCCCAGAGCCATGCTGGGGGGGCAGCTTGTGGGGAGGGGCTGGACGCCCTGGCTTCGGGGGATGGGGGTGCGGCCCCGGAGTCCCAGGGCATGAGGGGAAGGAGGCAGGCGATGCGTGGCCATAGGCCTGGGAAGTGGGGGTTGGGGAGGCTGCAGCACCCCCAGGCTTTGCGCCCAGCGTGGCCCTGCACTGGGGTCCCAGCTGCCTCGGGGGGCTCTGCTGTGTCCCCGGCCTGGGGCAGTAAGAGGTGCAGACGGGTAAGGGGCGCACACATACTGTGCCAGCGTCGGTCTGGGGCCCTAAGCCCTGCGGCGGGGGGAGCCTT